CCAACCAGCCTCTCTGGTCCCTGCTCGGAGTCTGAACCCTGTCCAGGGTCCTCCACATCTTCCAGAGCCGACTCATAGGGTCCCTCACTATCGTTTGCAGCTCCAACGGCTCCTGCTGGGCCACAACAGTTACGTATCAAAACAATATGACAAATATGTATCATGTGCCTGAGACAGGCGAGAACATTTTAGCATCCAAGTCCTAATGTTCCAATGGGGGGGGGGAGCATTTATTTCCTTTATATTGCCTTGCAAAAACAAATATCTGATATTTGTTGATGATAGATAAAATGGCTAAAAGCAATAGCAGAATGGAATGTCTTTTCATCGTTTGGGGATTCATTTTTATTCTATCCCCTTATGGAGGTTTTTAGCATGGTGGGCACTTGCCATGTCTTTATTTTAAGGGTGGCAAGGATAGTGGGTGGTACTTTCGGCTGCTGATGTTGGGAGCCATGTTGGGCTAGACTAAAAGGGCCTTGGCCTCCAATAGGTTCCCCAGGCAAAGTTTTGAGCAGCCTTTGGAAGGACAGAGCCAAGGGCAAGAGCAGGCATTCAAAATATCTGTTTCTTGTTCTCCGTAATGAAAAGAATCCCGACCTTTTCAGCCATGAAATAGACTATTCCAAGCTTCTGAAGTGAGAGATAATAAAGGAAGATTAGGCTGCAATATGGAGGAAAAGGAAGAAAATACAGTGGGAGCTGCCACTGGGGAAGCTGCTGCTGTGTGGCCATAACTTTGAACAGGCGCTCTCTTAATTATTTTTTTAATTGAGCACAAAAGTGAATGTTGACCTCAGGGAAGGGGTCTTCCCTAAGGTCAATATTACTCTAATTATTGCCCCAATAATTACACGCAATGCAAATGAGGCACGCTCCCGTGTGATGCTTGAGCGATGCTAGCACGATGTGTGTGTGTGTGTGTGCATGCACACACACTCAAGCGTGTACACTGGCCAGCCATCACGTGGCCTGGTGGCCAATAGGCCATGGCCCAGTAGTGGACCCCTGCAATAGAGAATTGAAAATCATACTTGCAATTTCTGATGGAAACAGGTTTTTGCCAGGCTCTAGCTTCAGTCTGCATTGGTGGCAGGCCAGTACCCATGATGGAGGTTCTGTTGTGATGTTTTCAACTAATGGTAAACCAGCCATCTTGGAAGTCAAGATAAAGAAACTGAATGGATGAACCCACTTTGAAAAATATCTTGATGTTTCTTGTTGAGATAGTTTGTTTGAGTTAGTGCAGTGCTGCTAAGTTGTATCTAAAGATATTACAAGACAACCACAACAACCAGTACTTGGATTTTGACTTAGAAGTCACTATTTTTAGGAAATGTTACCTAGAGTTACAGAATTACGCATCTTGCTGCTAGTGGGTCATGCAGATTACAAAGGGTCAGCCGAAAATAGCAGCAATCTGTAAATAGTTTATAAATGTTGGAAATGCCAAATCTTCGTGATCTTGATCCTCCAAAAACCACAATCAGAATAATAATATGGAAAAATTTAAAAGGATTAAATGTAACCCTGCCACAAAGCACAATGTTTATTATACCACTCTCCTCACCTGTGTTGATTTTTTTCCTCCTGCCTTACATTTCTTATTTTTTACATTGGGTATTAATACTTCAATCATAAGCTAACAGTGTTTGTGTTATAAAAAATATTGACTTAAATTAAATTGGGGATTTGGGGGGGGGGCACACAGTCCTGGGAATTCTTTATTTCCCTAAACTGGGAGGAAGAATTTTTTTTGCCATTGTGAAGCTGAAGATTTAGTAATATTTGTTTCTGCTTTTGTAGGGCATCATTGTAGAATTAAAAATAAAAGATAATCCTTGGGCTGCTGGTTACCAGTGTGTCGAAGAAGATGATGACTGTGATACGGTAAGTGACTCTATCACAAATGTCTTTTTCCAACATGTAAACATATGTCTATGGGAATTCTCAAACCAGGGGTCAGCAACCCACGGCTCTGGAGCTGCATGCGGCTCTATCATCCCTCTGCTGTGGCTCCCTGTCGCCAATCGGCCCCGCAATTTTGAGAGGAGCTTCCAGTTTTTTTGGGGGTGGAAGCATGCCTGCCAGGAGGAGACTCTATGGTAAGGTGTGGGTTTTCTGGAAAGGTCCACAATGATAGGGCTTTCGGTTAGGACAGGTAGAAGAAAAAGGACACCGTGCTAGGAGAAGACTCTATGATGGCAGAACCGGAATTCCCGTCAGTTCCAGAATTGAACTGTGGGCTTCCAGTTAGGATCTTTGTGGTTCTTTGAGTGTTTAAGGTTGCTGACCCCTGTCTCAAACATTCATGCCATGGTTGTTCCAAAGTTCCAAAATTGCTTTTCAAAAGGCAACTGGACTTTCTTGGGTTTTTTTCTTTGAAGCTTCTTGGATGAGAAGTGAAACGTTTTCAAAGAAAAAAAAACAATAACTTTTTGGAAAAAGCACCTTTGGGACATATGAATATATGGAAGCCCCTTCATGCTGGGCAGGTTATGTTGGAACCTGAATTTTAGTTTAACATTCTGAGAATGATCTTGGCTTCCTGTCAAACCTACATACTCCCATTTTTCCTCCAACGGAAGTTCTGTTTTTTGCTTAACCACAGTAGAGTTTTCCAAACCTAACTGAATTTTGATTAATCTTAACTAAACTTGAAACATATTTCATTAAGTTGTTTTCACCAATCATACTTAAAATGTCAAGTAACAAGCCAAGCTGTTATTAATTTGAAACACAAGCAGAAGTGTTTGATCTCCTTGTGTCTAAGAAATAGAACATGGAAATTTAAAGGAAGATTAGATTAGTGAGACCATGGAATCAGACTAGTAGTTAATTTAGGCCAATATTACTGTTCTATTGGCAGAGCTGCTGTTCAACTCAAATTGAAGACTTTTTCAGCCTTGATTTCTGAAAATATTTAGCTAAATATTCTGAGAACTTGGACTTTGTAGGTACAAAAACTGACTCATGATCTTCCCTTTGCAGATTGCACCTCCAGAATATAAATGAAGATGGCTATACAGCTATGTTAATATTTTATGTTAAAGCACTGTGATGTATGAGAAAAAATTAAGATAAACCCAATTAGTTATGTGTAGCTTTTGATACATTCCTGAACTACAGTTCCTAATATCCCAACTAGCAGGCCAAAATAGGATAATACATTAAGAATTGTAGTTCAGCAGCATCTGTATGGACACGTTTCCTCATTGGTCTACATTGATGTAGACCAGAGATTCCCCCCCCCCTTTCTTAGTGGAACTATATCTGCTGATTTAATGTACTGGTTATTTATATATTTTTTAAAATCTCTTTAGTGTGGTGGTAGTGGAAGTGGATTAGACATAAAACCATCTTCTGAAAAGGAAAGCGTGAGTACAATGCCATTTTTGTAATCGTGTTTCTATTTTCCAATATATAGAAATCTCTTTCCTCCTTTTCCTTCTCCATCATTTCTCTTTCACCTCATCATCAGTTCCTTTCCCTCCACTTTATCCTTCTACGCCCTTCTCTTTTTCCTCTAGTTGTAGCATTGGGTGGTCTGGTTTCATGGTGTTTCTTAAACCCACAATGAGGAGGTTTAATTTGACAAGCTGCTAACAACATCTGCTTGTGGTGAACCATTTATCACAAGCTTAGGGCTGCTGCAGGCCAAGGAGAAACAACAGTCATTACAAACCATTAGCTGACCATGTCCATCACAATGTTGCTGGTCTCGGATTGTAATAAAGTTCATTATTGTGCATCAGTTTGAATTATTTCCCACAGGGAAATTCATATGGAGTATGTATTTTAAAAGATCAGAAAATGTTTTTTTCCCTTTCAGAGATGTTCCACATTATTTATGAAACGTAGTTAGAAGCTATAGATGCACATTGTTTTGCCTAATTGTATAACATAGTGGATAAAAACTGGTGTGGAAATAAATGAAGATCAAGACTGCAATTCCGGCTTTGCCTGGAAATTCACTGAAAACTGAAAGCATCTCCCTCCCTCTCCCTCTCCGAGATAAAATTCAATTTTCCTTAATGAAACTGTTTTTCACATTTGCAAAAGGAGTATATAATTCACATTATATAGATTGCATATGCACGTTGCACATAAAACAGTTTTATTTTGCCTTGTTTGTAGTAGTGGCACAAATCAATTGACTCACTCTACTTAACCTGACTTTTCCTTATAGATTAAGAATGGAACTGTCTTTCACCCCACACCACAACACCAAATTTGACGATACAGTTTTCCTGGCATCATCTTTAGAGCCTGATAACTTGGGGAGGGTCCCTCCTGAGCCACTTGCCCTGCCCACTAAACAGCCATGGGCTATGCCCCCCCTTCTCTGACTGTTTCCAATCCTTCTCAGGGTCTCCCAAGGTCATTCCCACATACCATTACATACTCAGGAAAATACAGAACCACTCCCCAGCTTCTACAATTCTTTCTAACAAGATTTGTTGATGTTACTACTATGGACGCAGATAAATTGATAGATGCTGGGTTTTGGTTTTTGTGATTCCCAGTTGTTTTGTGTTTTCCCAAAAGTTAATTTTCCTTTATACCTTTTCTCAAGGGAGTAATAGAAAACTCCGTTTGGCTTTGCCATAAACGTCATCCACTCGAACAAAAATAGTACATGATCAATTTTCAAAAAAACAACCGGCACAGGGATGACCTTCCCATAGTTTATTTTTCCAAAGTACAGTTTTACGCATCCTGAAGTCAGTTTTGATTTTGCTCAACTTACGGAAACTAAGGCCAGTATTATTGGATTGTCAAAGCAACAAAGTCATGAATGGGTGATAAACTTTTCTCTTCCAATTCTTTCCAGATGTGTCTGTGGGTCATTTAGTATAGCTGTTTAATCTTAATTCTATGCAACATAGAGCATTGGATGAAAAGACAATTTATATATTAATACAATTAAATACATTTAAATATAACAATAGGCAGAATTCAGATATGTACTTCTTTGAGTGAAAATGGTCCTGTTGAATGAATGTTTTCTTTCCGTGCAGTACTTTCTGTATTTACAAAACTTGCCCCAAATTTCTGAGAAAGATTTGGCAGACTTTCTGTATGGAAGAAGAAAATTGAGGGAGGAAAAATCCTATTTCACAATCAGATACTCATTTTTGCATACTGCTGTACTTCCTCACATCTTCCTGGATGTTATATTCTGTCTTCCCCCTCTGGAATAAATGGAACAGTAACAATTTTGAAAACTTAAATTGTTTTTATATATTATATATTTGACACAAAAAACTTCAATGTTTGCATATGTTCTGAACACATGTAATATGATTAAATATGAGAAGGGATGAGGAAATACGCAGCCTGATAAACAGATATGGGTTACGCATAAAGCCACCTTCCACCCCCCACCCCCCCTCCAATGTCCATTTATTGAGCAATTACTGAAGGGACTGTAATCTGTAAGACTGGACTGATTATTTGGGAGTTCTCAAAGTTTATGATCTACTTCATTCTGTGTTTGAGTCAGTCTCCCTCGCGTGTGTGTGTGTGTGTGTGTGTTAGAAATATGAGATCTTCACAACTAATCAGTTTGGAAGCCTTGTGGAAATACTTCAAAACTGTCTAGTAAGTTACTATAATGCAAAGCTCATAAGTAATACAACATCATATTGTATNGCTTCACAGTACTCCACAAGGGGACTCCCTTTGGTAAGGGGGAAAATCCAACACCAGAAATTATGTTTGGTCCGGACATTTCCCCCCTATAAATAAATACCCATGCAATGCCGGGTTATCAGCACTAGTAAATAAACAAATAATCTAAAAAAGGCTGTGCAAGGCCACTTGCCATGGGGAGGAGCTTGGAGCTGACATCTTTATAGGAACAGCAACTATGCTTAGGGCTTCCATATATGCAGAGCGTAAGGGGCTGTAAGTACAAAGAATGCTGCAGTTTTGCATAGACTGTTAAAAGAATTCTTGTGGCAGCAGTTTTAGCCCTATTCATAACATTATATGTACAGTATATAGGGTGAATGTGTGTCTGTGAAGGGAGCAATGAAAGACCTTGTCATTTCCCACCCACACTCATTAACATATTTGAACAGAGCTTGAGTCTGGAGGAGGTTTCTGTTCAGGCAATGTAAATGAATGCATATATTTTAGGAATTAAAGTTGATATGCCATCTCCCTTTAGTGCATCTTCCTTTTATGTTCATGTGAAGTACAACTAAAATTAGTTCAATTCCATACAGGGCTACAAAATGGTTATTAAATCAGAATGTATTTTCATTTTCTGTCCACGTGAATATTTTATTTGTTGTTCCACTTTCAAAACGTAGAAAGTTTTCTGTTCTGGCTTTCAAGTTGCCCCTACTGTCCATGCAATGGTGGTATTTACGGTACTTTGTGGGTGTACCGTTCTCAACGTTTTGAGGAAAAGGAGCAGTTCCCTTTAGTGCAAAGGAGGGAGGGACAGATTATTTTTTCAGGGTGAGCTGACACTATTTGGCCTTGCAAGTTGCTGTCCAGGACGTAGCAGATGGGTGCAGGACAGGGCAAAAGCTACATTTCACTTCATTGACAAATCTAATTATTACAATTGAATTCAGTCTAATTCAATATACTTAATAGGATTGTTCTTCAAATTCATATCATTCATTTAATAAGTTTCTTATTTTATCAGGTTAACTTTCCCTCTTCAATTGCATCCAGAGATTTCAGGGCCTGGACTCCAAGTTACTCATCCTGTTTTAAGGGCAGAAGAACCGCCTTGTTGCTAATTATATTCTGGCTGCCATAGGAAAGAGATTAAATTCATTATGTAAACCTGCCATGCAAGAAAGTCTATAAAAGTGGTTCTACATTTTAAAAAGTAAATTGCCTGCCATTCTGTTTTTGTTCCATCCAGAGCAAATTTATATCCAGTGTCTCTTTTCAGCTTGCTTAGAAATTCTCAGCCTCTTTATTTAGAGATGATGAATGACTCATTACAATCCTGGTTTAAATACAGTTNGGTTGGAGACCCCTGCAGTCTAAAAAGTGGTAACATCTGATGAAGAAGGCATACATCTGAAGTAGTAGAACTTTCTCACTTTTCCAACACAAGGATAGAAAGATTGTCCATGACTAAAGTGCATTTGGGGGTAAACATAGGAATGTGTGAGATCAAGGGGAAAGGCAACTTCTTGTAAAGGTGATTTTAAAAAACCCCTTTTTTTCTCTCTTAGGAAGAATTGTTTCTTTCTAATGTCTGGCCACTGATATTTTTATTGCTCATGAACCAAAGTGAACTTTATGGGAAGCCCACTTGGTTTGTGGGTGATGAGGTGCTTGCATTCGTTTAATGTTAATGTTCCTTTTCCCAACACAAAGCATTCCCACTGTTGGGGTACAACTCCTACCTGCTCTAGCCAGCCAGTGTTTTGCTAATAATAACTGATGGGAGGTGGAGAACAACACATCTAGAATGTTCTAAACTAGAAAAGGCTGATATAGCAGCAACGCAGCCCCTTTCTTTTCCCACAGACAGCAACTCAGTGGATAATTAATTTTGCTGAATGTTGGATTGATTGTTGGATTTTGTTGTGTGTTAGATTACGCAATACTGAAAAGCTTTGCTTTGCTCTGCTTTGCTCTGCTTTTTGCTTTTGCAGGGAGAAAAGGGGGAGCTGGGTGTAAAGGTAAGCATTGCAATTATCTTTTTTGCCTCTTAAAAAGGTGTTAAAGGAATATTGGGGGTGAGAAAATAGCATATGCATCTGACATGCTAATAATTATTTTACTATATGCAGATCTAAATTCATGCAACAAACATTACCACGGCTGAACATGGGGTGGGCAACTATGGCCCCTTTATGACCAATGGACATTATGGGAGTTGAAGTCCACAGGTTGAAAAGGTGCCAAAGTTATCCACCCCTGCGTTAACACAATAGCCTAGTTCACAACATGCTAAAACAATCACCAAACTCCCACAAAACACTGAACATGAACAACCCAACATCAGTGTTCTCTTTAAACTAGAGGTTTCTAAACCAGGCATCTCCAACCTATGGGCCACAGTCTACTACCAGGCCATGGCCTATTTGCAACAAGGCTGCATGAGTGGTGGGCCACTACAGGCACACATGCGCACAGCCCAACTCAGGGGAATGGCGGGCGCCAGACATGCTGCTCCCACAAATGAAGCTGTGCGCACAAGTGCTCATGTGCACTTGTCAAGTCCTCACACAAAACCATCCCCTCTTCGCCCCCCTCCCTCCCCTACGCCTGACCGCCAACTTGGAAAGGTCGGCGAATGCTTTTCTAAACCTTTTGCCATCACACTTCCCTTTAATGTAATCTTAACGTACATACGTACCTCCCGCAAAATTGCAAATGTCAAAATTAACAAAAATGAACAGTGAAAACAAAGTCATGACATTTTGGGAATGGTGAATTTATTTTAACAATGTACAACTCAAAAGATTCTTCACCTTTCCTGGACTCGGTCTTTACCTCCCTAAGGGAGCTTTATCTCTTGATTTTGAAAATTCTGCTCTAAGCCAGGGCAGCAGGTGTACAAGTCATCATGCTTTCAGAGTAGAAGCAGGGATTTTTTTTAAAAAAAATGCATAATCTACTATGTTTACAAATTTTATTATTTCTTTATTCTTTCACCTTCCTTATTTTTATTGAAACATGGTGAACATACTACTGTATTTTTCAGAGTATAAGATGCACNGCCTGGAAATTCACTGAAAACTGAAAGCATCTCCCTCCCTCTCCCTCTCCGAGATAAAATTCAATTTTCCTTAATGAAACTGTTTTTCACATTTGCAAAAGGAGTATATAATTCACATTATATAGATTGCATATGCACGTTGCACATAAAACAGTTTTATTTTGCCTTGTTTGTAGTAGTGGCACAAATCAATTGACTCACTCTACTTAACCTGACTTTTCCTTATAGATTAAGAATGGAACTGTCTTTCACCCCACACCACAACACCAAATTTGACGATACAGTTTTCCTGGCATCATCTTTAGAGCCTGATAACTTGGGGAGGGTCCCTCCTGAGCCACTTGCCCTGCCCACTAAACAGCCATGGGCTATGCCCCCCCTTCTCTGACTGTTTCCAATCCTTCTCAGGGTCTCCCAAGGTCATTCCCACATACCATTACATACTCAGGAAAATACAGAACCACTCCCCAGCTTCTACAATTCTTTCTAACAAGATTTGTTGATGTTACTACTATGGACGCAGATAAATTGATAGATGCTGGGTTTTGGTTTTTGTGATTCCCAGTTGTTTTGTGTTTTCCCAAAAGTTAATTTTCCTTTATACCTTTTCTCAAGGGAGTAATAGAAAACTCCGTTTGGCTTTGCCATAAACGTCATCCACTCGAACAAAAATAGTACATGATCAATTTTCAAAAAAACAACCGGCACAGGGATGACCTTCCCATAGTTTATTTTTCCAAAGTACAGTTTTACGCATCCTGAAGTCAGTTTTGATTTTGCTCAACTTACGGAAACTAAGGCCAGTATTATTGGATTGTCAAAGCAACAAAGTCATGAATGGGTGATAAACTTTTCTCTTCCAATTCTTTCCAGATGTGTCTGTGGGTCATTTAGTATAGCTGTTTAATCTTAATTCTATGCAACATAGAGCATTGGATGAAAAGACAATTTATATATTAATACAATTAAATACATTTAAATATAACAATAGGCAGAATTCAGATATGTACTTCTTTGAGTGAAAATGGTCCTGTTGAATGAATGTTTTCTTTCCGTGCAGTACTTTCTGTATTTACAAAACTTGCCCCAAATTTCTGAGAAAGATTTGGCAGACTTTCTGTATGGAAGAAGAAAATTGAGGGAGGAAAAATCCTATTTCACAATCAGATACTCATTTTTGCATACTGCTGTACTTCCTCACATCTTCCTGGATGTTATATTCTGTCTTCCCCCTCTGGAATAAATGGAACAGTAACAATTTTGAAAACTTAAATTGTTTTTATATATTATATATTTGACACAAAAAACTTCAATGTTTGCATATGTTCTGAACACATGTAATATGATTAAATATGAGAAGGGATGAGGAAATACGCAGCCTGATAAACAGATATGGGTTACGCATAAAGCCACCTTCCACCCCCCACCCCCCCTCCAATGTCCATTTATTGAGCAATTACTGAAGGGACTGTAATCTGTAAGACTGGACTGATTATTTGGGAGTTCTCAAAGTTTATGATCTACTTCATTCTGTGTTTGAGTCAGTCTCCCTCGCGTGTGTGTGTGTGTGTGTGTGTTAGAAATATGAGATCTTCACAACTAATCAGTTTGGAAGCCTTGTGGAAATACTTCAAAACTGTCTAGTAAGTTACTATAATGCAAAGCTCATAAGTAATACAACATCATATTGTATACAAGGTAGAGTAGAAAGTGTGAGTTTTAATTTTCTCCATATATTTATTTATTTATTTATTTATTTAATTTTCCACCTCAAATATTCCTACTGCTATTGGAAACTTTTAAACCAATGGTGCAATTAATTTAAAATAATCAAAAGGAAAATAGGATAAGGAACAGATGGCTCTTAAAGTATTATAGGTACACACCCTTCACTGTCTTTAAGGAGTCCCATATAACATTCCTCTCTTCCCATTTCACTTTCATAGCAAGGGCTACAAGAAAGTAACCAGCCCACAGTCAGCTTCACAGCTAAGTCTATCCCTCTTGTGTGCCCCAGCTGGGCTACAAGAAAGTAACCAGCCCACAGTCAGCTTCACAGCTAAGTCTATCCCTCTTGTGTGCCCCATTCCTACACTGTCATACTTAAGCATTATATCACATTGTATCTTTTTCATCAAGACAGGAAAAGAACACTAAATGTGCCTGGAAAACGATGGTAGACATATAATATGTCTAACTCCGACACTTAAGGCTGCGAAGAAAATGTGACGAATGCAGAGCACAGGTGCCACCTAGTGGCAAGACACATGGTTGTCCTACATGATCCCCCATGGGTTTTATTCAAATGCATGAAATTTCACAAATTCAAAAGGGATTACTTAAAATATTATCCAAGAGAACCATTTGTGGAAAATTGGAAATACAGTATGTGCAATATATATTAAGCATAAGCTTTCCTGCCACTGTTCTTGTCAGGGAAGAAGATACAGGTAGGGGTGGAAATTGATCCCTAGAGCCCAACATCTAATAACAACAGAAAGCTACTGTACAGAGACTGGTAAAAGATGAAAAGTGCTATAGTGAACTGGAGATCCACCTGGAACCAGCATGTTTACATTCCCTTCTAGTGAAAGTGAAGCTAAAACATAGAAATTGCAGGCAAGTGCAAAAACAACCAACCCAAAAACAAACAAGGCAAGAAAAATACCATACAGTTTTCACTTAACCATCCAAAAAGATTTAAGAAGCATTTTTTTTCTTTTACAGATTGTACTCTAAGAATTTTGATTGTGAGTTGTTACAGTTGTGAAGTCACTCACCACTGACCTGACTCAATTTTACAACCATTTTTACAATGTTTGATAAGCTAATTACATGCTCATTAAGTGAACCACGTGGAAAGTTTAAAAAATGTTTTGCTCCCTAGGTTTAAAAGGCATGTAGAATGAATGAAATGTTTTAATATTTTCCCCACATATATGAATTTTTCCACGTGTGTGAGGCTTGTTCTGATTTTATAAAAGTAAAAATAACCTTCCCCCCAACTAGGTCTACAGTAACATTGTATTGTAATCTTTTATCTAAGTAATCTACAATAGAAGGAAGTTGTTGAAGCAATATTTTCTTTAAAAAATCACTGATTTAATACATATTTCTTTTCTAAATGAGAAAGTATAAAAAAAATTTTTTTCTTTTCTCACACGATTTGCCCAGTTTATCAATTCCAGGTCTGATAATGGTAGGGAAACATTCCAAGTTTTTCTGTTTGTTTTTTCTAACTGAAACCATAATTTCTGTAGCGCTAAATATTAAAGTGCTAAGGGGGCAAGTCTTCTGTTAATGCAGTGCGCTTTTGCATATTAAAAAAGCAATATCTTAACAACATGAAACTTTCATTGATAACATAATGCTAAACTTAATAGACTGAATTAAGGCAAAATTAAATGCTCTGTAGTGTTGTTTGACTGAAATCAAGTTTTAAAGAATTCATATAACATGCTAAGCATGATTTTGTTGACAATGACAGAATAAGCTACAATTATCTAGGCTCAATCATAAATCATGTTGTGCAAACTACACCATGGATGGAATCATATATGTACTAAAAAATGAGCCAACCTTTAGTTTATCAAGGTATGTGGGCCTAGTTATTAACTTGCTTAACTCATCTGAATAGGCAAAAAATAACAAGGCACAAACCTCAAAATCAGACCGTTTAACTGTGGACCACATGAAGACTTTGACCAAATTTTGTGCCATCAATTGAATTTCTCCCTATCCTAATTTCCCCCTGTATTCTCCTTGGCTCATTCCCCCCTCCTCCCCAAGTATTGCCAGACTGATAGTGAGAACAATTGAGATAATTTTTGGCAATTGATGGGACAGAGGAATTATGCAAAGGGGTTGTTGCAGGCCCATCCCTTATTCTTTTTCCAAACAGGCTTTTCCTCTGTGCTTGTGTGCATTGTGTATGTCCTTCATGTGTAAAGAGGGAAGGAGAAGAATTGCTAGACCCAATAGTCACTTTTTCAGAGTCAGTTGTTTGTCTTGGGTTGTACAAGAGGAGGTCTAACTTAATTCTTTCTCTCTAGGTGATTCCTCTGTTGTCAAAACTTCCAGTGCCTCCACCTGTTACTTCCCCTGCCATTGCCAAAAAACCTGTGCCGTTAGAGGAGACTGAATATACTGAGAGGCCAACATATGTTCCTGCAAGTAAGTTCTTGTTTCCTAGTACTGGCAAAAAAATTTTTATCAAAAAGTGGGTAACAACAACAACAACAATACCAACAACATGGCTTAAGATGGAAACCATCAAGAATGGAAGGTTTAATACTCGCTGCTCAAGAACAAGCACTACAAACTAATTCCATGAAAGCGAAGATACAAAAATCCACTGACAANCCTAGACTTTGCACCTCCTGAATGTTTCCTCCCTTTAGGAAAAGGAATTAGTAGCCTCCCCTTTTTTCCCTTCTTTTTAATTCCATTCACTGTTGTTTCTCCTTAGTAGACCGAAGGCCTTAGTTGCCTCCATTTCTCTCCCTTCCCTCTGCACCTGCCAAAATTTTAATCTCGGCCACCATGGAAGTTGTTTATATCCCCGCCCCACTGGAGGGTGCACTTCCTCCACTGCCTCAAATGGGCAGGTGGAATGGACAAACAGCATCTATAGATCAGATTCATATGGGTGGTGAAGGTATGACATGCAGTAAGATTTAATGTCTATTTCTTTTGCTTTGGCAATAGCATCCTGTATGTAGCCTTTGCTCACAGGCCAGCATATATGTTTGCATTGTCGTTTTTGATGTGTAGGTAACAAGTTGCCAGCAGTAGATCTTATTCCTTCTTCCAAAATAATATTGTATAAAGTACTTGAACTTATATGTGCATAAACTCTGATTTAAGGCTAGAAAGCAACACAAATACACAATAATTAATATATTAGAGGGAGTAGCAGCCTATTGTCCTCTATAAATTTTGGATGATAGTTCCCATAGTTCCGTGCTGATGGGGGCTGGGACTTATGCGGGCTGAAGTCCAAAGTGACTGGAGGCTATCAAGTTGCCTGTCTCAGAACTTCCAGTATGTGATATAAGGAAATGGGAAGATAATGATTCCTACCCATGTCCATTTCCAACGTAGAAGAAATTATATTTGTCTTGTTTTCATTTTTCATATTTTCTCCCCCTTTAGGGAAGTGCAGGCTTTGGCTATCCTGGCTCTAAAGGACAGAAAGGTGAGCCTGGTACTCCAGGGCTTCCAGGTCCACTTGGGCCCCCAGGACCTCCCGGAACCATTATGAGGCACTCTGATGGCTCTACTGTTGAGCAACCAGGAGCCATAGGCCCACCAGGACTTCCAGGAAAAGATGGTCAACCTGGAAAGGATGGAGAGCCTGTAAGTAATCTTTTTATATGATGGTTGACTTCAGCTGGAATTGAATGAAGGTGGGGTTAGAACAGCTTACCATTTAGAGTTCATTAATTTATTGCCACTATACATTGGCATTCATGGAAGGCATAGCCAAAGGTACCAGCCTTAGCTGGACTCATGTCACATATAGTATTCCCTATTAACAAGACAATTCTGTTTGGACAGATTTTTACCAATATGCAACAAGCAGAACCAGAGTCCAGTTTTATTCCAAGTGTGCTCAGGAAAATTGGGATTTCTAACCTAAAGACAGCCTTGTAAACCAACATATTGTTGCCATCATTCTACTCTATTGCAATATATATATATATATATATATATATATATATATATATATATATATATATATATATATATATATAATCATTTATCGATTTAGTATACATATACAATAAAGCGAATAGTCTGGTTTCATGGAACTTTACATGTATTTGAAGATAAAAGTTGGTTGTTCTACATGATGGAAGTAAACCATGCACGAGTATAAACTACTTACAGAAGGACAAGTGGATAAATGTATGTACCTCAGTACTCGTGAAATTATATAGAGACCTTTTAAAGCATGCAGATGCCGGTTAAAAAAAAACAGGAAGTATGTAGTCTGTTGTGATGGATGAATTTTTGTGTGGAAGAACATGCTTTTACTCATTTGTTATATATTTGTTATGAGAATTGGGTGTATCAGGAGAAACTTAAAAGTAAGTTGAATGGCATAGGACTGAAGCACTGAAGAAATGTGTATAGTAAAACAAGAATCAAGAGTACCTGAATACTATAAATGAATCTGGATTAAATGCAAAATTGAGTGCCCAGTATGAAAGAATTATGTTGTATAGTTTTGCACGTAGAGAGAGAATGAATGAAGATTGAATGGATAACAAAATAAATATATGAAGGCATGGGTTGAAAGAAAGACCAAAATAAAACAAAAACTGATTGGATGAAGTTGGTGTGATTGGATGATGTTCTCAAGAAGAGAAAGTTGAGGAGTTTATGAAGCAATGCATAAATCAGTGATTGGACGTGGTAGAAGGAAAGATGGTTTGAAAAGATAGGAAGCTATGGAGAGAAATGCTGAATGATATCGGCATAAACCAGATCAATCTATATTTTCTTTTTCTTATTTCATGGCTTAAATTTCTTTAGCTTACTATTTCTTACTCCTTTTCTGCTCTCTGCATAACATCACTTATCCTGAAAGGGAATAGCCTCATAGGTATGTATACACGTATGCACTATACATTGGAATGAGCAAAATATGATTACATTCTCTGTATACAAATAGATCCATATTGATATAACCTTCCAGGTTCACCATAGAAGCCCACAGCCCTTCTTAAGATTTTAGTGATTTTTTTCTGTCCATTTTCTTATTTTCTTTACATGACTTTCCTATTCATTTGCTTCCCTCTCAGTTTTTGTTTCATCCATCAGATTTACGATTAATTAAAAAATGTAACCTTCTAAATGCAAAGAAAACGCTTTAGTTGGCAGATTATTTTTGAAGGCTCTGATAGGCCATTTAATCAAGGACATAAATAATAAAGGCATGATGGTCTTTTATACAAAATCCATGATTGATCCTTATCTGTTAGAAAATTGTTACAGAATAGTGTGCAATCAGGTTTTGAATTTTAGAGATTGCTTCTATAGACAGGAATTTTTCATTTTTAATGGAAAATTTCACCTGAACTTTTATATATCTTTGGTTCTTAATTGTGCTCAGAACAGATTCTCTCTTTCAAATATATTTTAATTTTGCTTCTGCTTTTCTGCCTGAATATTTTGTTCCTGCAGTCCCCAACTCCAGTGTCACATGAATTAGACTTGACATACCCTCCCTATCCTGAAACTCCCAATGTTTCTGAAATATATTCCGGCAGATTCTGCAATCTCTGAAACTGATTTGAGGATAAATAGATGGTCACAGGGAAGAAAGGGAACAGTCCTTTGTCTTAGAGGGAAAAGAGTGCCCCTTTGTTCTTCCCCCGATTGGTGCTCCTTTTAGATATTTTTATCATTTGCTTCTCTTCTCATTAGTAATCCTGATATTTTCCCTGTTCGTCTCTCTTTTGCTTCCATTCTGAGCTGCTATATTGTTGCACTCTCTTTAGTACAGTAAGAGTTAAGCCAAGATATTCTTCCTATGTTTTGTGCACATCTGAGTGAGCTATCCCTGTAGCTGATTCAGCCAAATATCATATGAGTGTGAAAAGGTTGCAGAGGAGATTAGCCTGGAGTTTGAAATTTAAATCACAACAGTATAAAAGTGCCTAAATTCTTTTTCCAACATTTTGTTCTTTTTAGGGGGATCCTGGTGAAGATGGCAAACCAGTAAGTTCTGTTGTTTATTCCTCACATTTCAGATACAAACTTTTTAGGTTTGAACTATGCAATTGTAAAGAAATTCTGTATACCATGCAAAACTGTCCTGAGCATCTCACAGAAAAATGATACAAGTTTGTTCAGACGTTACTCCCCTTACGTTTAATGAGTTAACTCTCAAGTAGATGTGAATAAGATTGTATCCTAAGCCACATTTTATATAGACATTTTCAGGCCAGCTATTTAATAAAAAAAGCAACATGATCATTCTAAATTCATTCAAGTGAAATATGTAATGATTAGGCAGTCAAATCTGTAAACTACCCAATATCATGAGTTAATGTAATCTCCCCAAATGTCCTCCCCCCCCGACCTAAGTAATATGAAAAACAAAACTTGGGAAGTCAACAGAGTAAACTATTGGCATGTAAGTATCATATTTGGAATGCTCTTACAAAATGTATTCTTTTTTAAAAAAAATTAAATTATTTCTAAATGCAGTTTGTCAATCTCAGATGTGTTGTTGCATATTTGTTTATGAGTAATAAATAAACAATGTGGAAATGTTGCTGGAAATATTTGAAAGAGTTGAAAGATTGAAATGGAAAGCAGCAGGCTTTAAAATGGGAAGAACACATCTCAGCAAAAAGTGCTTCTCAGTTGCATCAGAGAGAATATGACTCACGCATTGGACTAAGCCAAGGGTTCGCAAACTGGGGTCAGGGCCCATCAGAGGATTGTAAGGGACTTAGAGGGAGGTCATAATTTTTTGTACAAGTAAACAAAATGATGGATTTTAAAAAATCAACTAACTAGGCTTGATCAAAACACACATTTATGTATTTATTCTATAGGGTGATGTTGGTCCCCAAGGTTTCCCTGGGACTCCGGGTGAGCCTGGCCTGAAAGGCGAAAAGGTACAAATACTCCTAAAGCTATAGAAATATGGCTGTGCTGTTTACTGGAGCATTTTCCGAGTAGTCTGATTTGACTGAGGGATTCTGGGGGCATTTGGGGGGACAGGGGTGACTGTAATCAGCTATGTAATTTGTTCTTTCCATCTAGGGAGAACCAAGTGTTGGTGCTAGAGGTCCTCCTGGCCCCCCAGGCCCACCTGGGAAACCTGGATTGAGTTCCAGAGTGGATAAATTGGTGAGTTCCAAAAGCTTGTAACAAAGACAAGAGTGGAACTTGTTTTCGTGGCCTTATCCCACCCAGGAAATGATGCTGCACTGCCAGGATCATTCTCTGCTTTTCTCTTTAGGCAAATTATCTCCCTTCTGTAGATCTATATAAGTTGACTTTCCATTGAATGAATGAAAATACCAGGTGGCAGGGATTTCATGTGCCCCTGCTGCTCCCATTCTCAAATCTGAAACAGATGTTGGGAGCTATGCAAGAGGTAGGAGAACAAGGGAAAAATCACTCTGCACCACTGCAAACCCACTTCTGTATCTTTGGGTGGAGCTTTATTATGTATGTGCCAAGCCTGTTCCTTCCTTCCTTTAATTTTCTCCAGCTTTTAACATTCTAAATTGCTTGAAAATATTTGTGGTTCTGCCTTGAATAGTGTTGTATATTTATTGTTGTAATGTTTTATTGTACATATTTCTGGGAGAACTTACATAAATATTCATTATTCATTGGCTGTCCATTCAGTCTACCAGGTGGAAGATTTAGTATATAAGGTAAGTATTAAATTGCAGAATAACACTTCCACCCCCCACAATTTATTAACATGCCCTCTTTGTCTTGATTTCTTCTCAATGCAAACCAAGGACTACAGCAGATGAAATTAGGCAGACATATTTCTTTGAACTACTTAGGTCTTTGTTTCAATGGCATTTAGCTTTGATATGCTTAGCATATTGTTTGTTTGCATCTGTGGCTTTTTTCTTCCAGACATTTATTGATATGGAGGGCTCTGGTTTTGGAAGTGACTTGGAGTCTTCACGAGTAAGTACCTAAGTTCTATGAATAGGGGAACCGATGTTCCATTGATTAGACTGGATTTGGGAGGAAGAAAGAGAGAAACAATAATAGTGGCCTTCCTCAATATTGAGTCATTCAGATGTTTCAATACACTAACTTCAATATTAGTTCCATTAATTTTTAACCAGAAGCCCGAAGTCTCTGTACAGCATGATCTTCAAACATGAATGATGTAGCATTTGCTCAGCAAGCAGATTAACTTGGCTAGCATAAACATATTTATTTGTTAGGCGCACCTCAGATTAGAACAGAGGTCACCAAACTTGGCAACTTTGTGGGGTTCAATTCCTGAAATTCCTCAGCCAGCCAAGTTGAAGTACACAGATCTCAAAGTTGCCAAGCTTGGAGCCCCCTGGGTTAGAATGTACATTATATTTATGTTTCAGGGTCCCAGAGGGCCACCTGGGCCTCCAGGCCCTCCTGGTGTACCTGGTTTACCAGGACAACCTGGAAGATTTGGGACAAATGGCACTGACTTTCCAGGCCTCCCAGGCCTCCCTGGAGTTCCAGGGAGAAATGGCAACTCAGGAATCCCAGGACCTCCGGTGAGTAAAGGGGAAAATATCGTGCAACTCTGTCTCCAAAGGCTACCCAGGTTCATCACTCTGTCATGGTAAGCCAGTTTACTGTTGTGAAGTGTGTGTGTAGTGGGAGGAGGTTTGCATGCCCCTTGGCTAGCTGTGGTTATCATGCTGAATGAAAAACATGTCTCATTGGCGTATTAGTAGAATTTGGGAAGTGTCTGGAAATGAGGGTTGGATTTTACTTCTGTGGTCTAGTAGTTAAGGTGTTGGACTAGAATAAGGGTTCATGTGCACCCTCAGCCACTGAAGCTCACTGAGTGACTTATGGCATCCATCAGTCAT